GGGGGGGGGTGTTTAGTAAGGGGAATACCACGATGTTGTTCGCCCTCGGCCCCTGGAAAAGAGAGAGAAAAAGAGGGTGAGTTTTTTTTTTCTGGTTGGCTTAAGAAGACTGACACCAATTTCCTGGTGTGATATAATATGTGTGTGAGATTGTGGCCAGAGAAAGAGTCTGCAAACTGAAGGGAAAAAAATATATTTATATATTTCAATATGACAGTGTTCACAATTAATATATCGACATACCATGTTAACGGTATTGACAAGGAGTGGACTAAAGTGCTGAAAGAAGCTGAAAGCAGCTTTGTCAAGAGAGAAAAAGTGTTTAATTTCCAGATATTGGAATAATCATTCGTGTGTGGGTGTGAGGGGACAGCAAAGGCACTTTCTCTCCCTCTTTCTCTCTCTCTGTGTGCGAGAGCCGCCTCTGGGGTCACTGTGGGGAAAGACCTTGAGGACAAACAGCACCACACATGCCCCCAGCAGGACACGGTGCACATACATACACACCGACACAAAGTTGACAATTTGGGGGACTCACAACTGCAGCATTATTATTTACACTCACAACACTGCCTTACACACAATCCCTCCACACATCTCCTCTTCCTCTCACACACACACACACACACACACACACCATTCAGTGGCAACGAACAGAAAAAAGGCCACACTGGGACTGAAGCCTGTGGTTGTCAGTCTAGATGCTGAGGTCAGGCTGCAGTAATGAACCCTCGTTTCTGGGAGTGAACGCTGTAAATGTGAATCTGGGTTGGAGTATGTGTGTGTGGGAGGGGGTTATGTACATGCAAGGACATACACTCTACGTAAGCACAGGAAGGCAAAGATATTCTGCATCGTGTACATTTTCTGGCTCATGTCAAAATCGCAAATTTCCATCGTGTATACTTGGGAAGATGACTGGAGATAGAGGCCAATTTATGAAGTGCAAGTTATAATAAATGACTTGATTTAGCTTTCAGTCAGAGTGTAAGTGCTTCCCTATGTCCATTAATACTATTCAATCTATGAAATCTTCCCAAGCTCACAATGGGTCATTACAAAGATTTTGTGTTATTCTTCACCATGGATGTTTTCCAACAAGACAAGGCACACGTGAAAAGCGTTATTTGGTTCAGATCTGAGCATGATTCTGTTCAGCTGCAGCACAGTCCTGAGAAGACGAGGGATGAATTCCTAATGTAGCAGCCAGACTGCTCCTCTGCAAGATGTGCCATTTAGGGTGGAACAACTCTCTGCCTGCTACTCTGTAGGTGATTAGAACACATTAGCCCATGCTGTATACAGACACACATTGTGCTTATGTGTGATACACTTAAGGGTGTTTTCTATAATTGTTAATACAGTTGTATCACTTGGCAACAACAAATATTTCACAACCTCGGAACTGCCATGTTCCATCTGACTGACTGCAATGTACTCATCAACATCTTGAACTGTTAATATGCATGTTTTTTGCCACTAATTATATTAACATAACTGTGCACACCAAACAACAACTTAAAGCCTTTAAAGGAAAATGCAAAGAATGCTTTACGCTGATAAACTACACATGACTATCAGATATAATATTGATGTAGTATCAACAACCCTTTAGCTTCCCCACATATCTGTGTGCGTTGTCCTGCCGCTCAGCAGCGAGTACACTGGCAGGGATAGGGCTTCTTGGTATGTGGGGGGGGCGGGGGCAGAGCGCACAGAGTGATTAGAGAGATTCTGACCTTGAGGTTCAGACACTTTCTCACACAAAGGAATGAACAGAGATGTAACCATTTCTCAGGTTTCATCTCCAAATGTAACCCATTACAGGCAGTTTTGCTGAAATAGGAATTCATTGCACAAACACTACTAAGAAGCATGGGAATAACTTCAAAGAAAATTACACAAGCTAAAATAATTAGAATAAATAGATGCTCGTCAGAAGAACTTGGCATACTGTCTTCAAGACTGAAATGCAGATCTCCGTATGAAGCGCTTTTCAAAAGAACTGCTACAGCATCTTTTCCTGGAATATCCTCTGTTGGACATTAAGTTTGAAGCATCAGCCAAGGCAAAAGGTTCCAGATGCGTAGCAGTGTGGATCAAATCAGAATCTCTCAATCTCAAAGCTCAGTGCGTGTGTAGGGAAGTTGGCATGCTGATCAACGTGTTTGGCGCCACACCTCCTCAAGTTATGGAGTTACCACTGACATTCTTTGTAGCCTGGATTTATTCCTGCTTTCAATGACTGGCCACATTTTATAGTAAAAAAGGGACAGCAGATTACCTTGTTCCTTATGTCAGATTTAGAAACTGCAGTTAATAGTTGACTGCCAGGTGTTTTCATCATCTCATGCTGTGAACGTCTTAAGTTAAACTGGCCTTGCAGTAGAAATAAAGACTACAAAAGACTGTCAGGGTCTCACTGCAGAGGTCCAAATCACACCATGTAGAAAGCCACCCTGTGCACAACACTGATCAACACCAGGCTAACTCTGTGGGTCAACATGGATCACAGTAATGGCATTACGAACACACTATTGATGGGATGGAGCAAACAATTTCCACAATTCCTCCGTAGAGAAAGCAATGCTAAGGCTCACAGTAATGACTAAAATGATTGATCATTCCTTTGCTATTAAAAGGATCCAATTACAAATGACATCCCATATTTCCGAAAAGACATTAGCATAAGAAGCAGCTGCCGGAGTTTTAGCAGCATCTTTCTGCTGTCGATTAATTACCGAAGAATGGGCACTGACCCGACTTAGTTCCAACTAATGCAGAGTGTATGTACAGCCTGGGATGAACAAACTGATGTGCACAGAGTTGAGATGTTATATGTGATGTGGCATGCAATGAGCCCCGTAGTCCCACAACCGCTGTGATTTCTAAACCCACCACATGGCATGTACCTGTGTTTCTATTCAAGTCTCCAAAACAATCTACAGGACTGTCTCAGAAAATTAGAATATTGTGATAAAGTTCTTTATTTTCTGTAATGCAATTAAAAAAACAAAAATGTCATACATTCTGGATTCATTACAAATCAACTGAAATATTGCAAGCCTTTTATTATTTTAATATTGCTGATTATGGCATACAGCTTAAGAAAACTCAAATATCCTATCTCTAAATATTAGAATATCATGAAAAAGTATACTAGTAGGGTGTTCAACGAATCACTTGAATCGTCTAATTAACTCGAAACACCTGCAAGGGTTTCCTGAGCCTTGAAAAACACTCAGCTTGGTTCAGTAAACTAAATCACAAGTATGGGGAAGACTGCTGATCTGACTGCTGTCCAGAGGACCGTCATTGACACCCTCCATCAGGAGGGTAAGACACAAAAAGAAATTTCTCAAAGAGCAAGCTGTTCACAGAGTGCAGTTTCAAAGCACATCCACAAAAAGTCTGTTGGAAGGGGGAAATGTGGCAGGAAACGCTGCACAACCAAGAGAGATGACCGCAGCCTTAACAGCATTTTGAAGAAGAGTCGCTTCCAGAATTTGGGGGAGCTTCAAAGACAGTGGACTGAAGCTGGAGTCCAGGTATCAAAAGTCACTGTTCACAGACGTGTCCGGGAAATGGGCTACAATAGCCGTATTCCCATGGTCAAGCCACTTCTGAACTCAAGACAACGGAAGAGGCGTCTGACTTGGGCTAAGGAAAAGAAGCACTGGACAGTTGCACAGTGGTCCAAAGTCCTCTTTTCAGACGAAAGCAAGTTTTGTATTTCATTTGGAAGTCAAGGCGCCAGAGTCTGGAGAAAGGCTGGAGAGGAGCAAAATCCAAGTTGCTTGAAATCCAGTGTGAAGTTCCCACAGTCAGCGATGGTTTGGGGAGCCATGTCAGCTGCTGGTGTTGGTCCACTGTGTTTCATCAAGCCCAGAGTAAATGCAGCTGTGTACCAAGAGTATTTAGAGCACTACATGCTTCCGTCTGCTGAAAAGCTCTATGGAGATGAGGAATTCATTTTCCAGCATGATCTGGCACCTGCCCACAGTGCCAAAACCACCAGTAACTGGTGTACTGACTATGGCATTACTGTCCTCGATTGGCCTGCAAATTCCCCTGACCTGAACCCCATAGAGAATATGTGGGGTATTGTGAAGAAGAAGCTGAAAGACACCAGACCCAACAATGCTAATGAGCTAAAGGCCGCTATTGAAGCATCCTGGGCATCCATAACACCTCAGCAATGCCACAGGCTGATTGCCTCCATGCCACGCCGCATTGATGCAGTAATCCGTGCAAAAGGATTCCCAACCAAGTACTGAGTGCATTAATGGACATTTTCAAATGTTTGATTGTGTTTTGCTGTTATAAATCTTTTTTTTTTACTTGGTCTGAGGAACTATTCTAATTTTTTGAGATAGGATTTTTGAGTTTTCTTAAGCTGTATGCCATAATCAGCAATATTAAAATAATAAAAGGCTTGCAATATTTCAGTTGATTTGTAATGAATCCAGAATGTATGACATTTTTCTTTTTTTTTTTTAAATTGCATTACAGAAAATAAAGAACTTTATCACAATATTCTAATTTTCTGAGACAGTCCTGTATAT